GTTGCCGCATCGCGGACAAAGATATATATGCTCTTATCACTGTAGCAAAATAACGTGGCAGGATTTGTGCTCTTGTTATGATCGTGTACCATTGTAGTCGACGTCATCCCAGCACGGCGTATCGTTTTTGTATTCGGTTCAGCCCTGCAAACCACACTTAGGAAAAAAATGAAAGTTTGCACCTTGTTTGTTCAATTTTTTGTTATACTGCAGAAACATATTGCGCCCCGTGTTTTTGAAGGCACGGTAGACGGTGGTGACGGTGAGGTGACCGACCCCCATGTCAGCCGGCGTCTCGCTCGACCTCCTCGGAGGACAGGTCGTTTTTACTGGTGACTGGTGCATACGTGGAGCAACTCCGCGCGCATTGCGTTCTTCATCTCAGAGAACGCAATACATGACTCAGCTCTATCTCGTCATCGCTCCAAAATGACAAGTGGAATTCGCAACTGTATTCGGTGACAGGTCAAGAACGAAGTGGGAGCTCCTCCCACCCTGTTCCACTTCAGCGGAGCGAACGGGGGAGAGGAGGTCGCCCCCTCTCCAGCGTTCGCAAATGGCAAATATTAGTTTATTAGGCCACTAACTGTCAATTTACGCTCGTTCCTTTACGTCCGCCGCAGCCGATAATGTTATCCCCGGGAATACCAAAAGTATAATTTCTTTCAGCAAAAAAAACAAAACAAAACAAAACAGAATAATAAAACGCCCGGTATATCACAGCTTTGACAACGCTTCACGTGTGTGAGGTTCGATGACCGACAGAGAACCACCGCTGGCCGTGCTCCCGAAGCGGGGAAGTGCAATTTATGGAGACCGATCATATTATCAGAAAGGTGCAGACTAGAAAGCCTTCATGTGCGCGAAGCGCACATGGAGGCACTCTAATGCAGACAATCCAGGAAAAGTATTCTTGCAACTATGAGGTTCCAGTTGTACTTACACATGCATTATCGTCAAATTTGACGGAGTTCCTTCCAGCACTAAAGAGTTGTCAAGAGTGAAGATTATAAAGGAGAATATCAGCAGGAATCTATTGTCTGTTTACTGAAAACAAAACAAGCATCAGAAAAACGCATTTGGGCGGCCGGGGAGGCCAGAAGCACGGACTGCGCGCACCCAGCGTGGAACCAGCGAATGAGAGGGCACTCCTAGCAATCTGTTTTCAGAGCCACGGTATGCCGGCTGCCGGCCAAATGTCCACTTTAATTCTATTATGGCTTTCGAAACGTAAATACACGCTCGACAATTTTCAACAATATCACGCGAGCGCCGACCGGCCTGTAGATCGGCGCATCGTCACGGCGCGAAGTAGCGATATCAATGACAGTACGCGCGTGCGCAGAAGAAACGCGCCGAAGTCGGCGTCGGCTGCTAAGCTGTTTCCCCAATCACGACCCACCCCTGGCGCGACGCCCACCGCTTGCTCCACCCCATAAGCAGGGGACCTAGTAATCAAAGCGACACACACGGTACGCAAACACGAACAGCAGCCAGTAGGAAGGACACCGACACGAGCGTAGTCAGCGAACGAAAAGACAGACACAAACTTCACTCTAGGCAAACAGAGCAGGGGTAGTTACAAGGATGAGATGCGTGCGCAGACTGAGGTAAGCAGTGCACAATAAATACGCGAAAACTCGCAGCAACCGAAGAACTACGCAGCAAACACGTACGTGCACACGCACCAGAAGCACGTGCGTCACGCTGCGTATCTACGCAGAACTGGCGATTTTGGCATTTCGGTAATTTGAAACTTCGATATCGATTCCGTGAACAATTTATTCAGCAAACTGAACCGGTGGAGCTTCGCATAAAAAAAAATCGTTTAACAATATGAAAGCGACTGAAATTCTTCCTAAAAGCTATATTAGCAGAAAGTACCGTGTTATAAAGGACCTCACGAGTTTCGACCAAGTTTTCCAGCACGTTATTTTGCAAGAAACGGAAGAAGCCAGGTGTACAACCAGTTTCCGAAGCTGGCAACCACAGCTGGAATCAGCGCCATCCTCGGCAGTTTCCTGAACCTCGCGTAGTCACATTTCAGCCACCGCCACATAGAGGGCGCAACCAGACATCCAATTTGTGTTTTCTGTGTGTTTTATGATTCTTTTTAATAAATAGGCTCGATTAGTAAAAATGTGGGCTAATAATCAGGACCTGGAACAGTAATCTCCATTTAATACTAAAAATATCGGCCTAAATGTCTGCCAAAAGGGGTCAAAATACTCGTTTTTGACTATCAACAAATACGTGATTTCACCTATATTCAAACTTTTTTTATGGAAAATCAAAAGTGAAATTTAGAAAAAGGGCCTCGCTTTGCGAAGCAGAATATGTTTTTCTTTGCGGGCCTACAATTTTATTCATGTGTGCCAATCCCTAAGCGCTGTACCACTGTACTACCAAATGAAGTTTGCCAAAATTAACGGTTTTTGTCACTTTTCACGTGCGCATTCCGAAAAAAGTTTAAGCCATATTACAATGAAATTTAGCGTAACTCTTTCGACCATAATTACAAACTGATGTAAAAAGTTTCAAATAAAATGACCGAGTAGGCGCCCAAAACTTCGCGACTGAAATGCTTCCGCAAAGTCAATTGTTCTAAAGTAAATATCTGTCAAAATAAAATAAAAAACGAAAAAAGGGCCTCCGTTGACAATGAACGCACTCTTCTTCTATAGCATTCTAAAATTAGAAAGAAATTGCTCCAATAGTGCACCCTGTACCACTGTACTACGAAACCATGTTTTGCCGAAAAGGTCAATGTTCGCGGGTGCCCTCTGAATTAGCTTTTTGCACTAGGAAAACAAATCCTACATCAGATAAAAGATAATGTTGTACACTACAAGATGATATATAACACATAATTTTAGCAAGCTTGAACACGCCACGATCGCATTTCGAAAACGTGCTGAAAGCGTCATATGTGATGGCCGCCGTGGGACCGCAGCCTTAAGTGAGTGAGGGGGGTACCCCCCCCCCTCACTCACTTCAGTTCGTCTCTCGTCGTTCGAAGCGCCGTCTAGATTTTCTTTGACGAACTGTGTGTTCCATAGAGTAAGGCCCCTGCCATAGAGTACGGTGGAGCGCCATCTAGACGCTGCGCTTCGAAACGTAGGTATTCCAAAGAATACACTCGAGTTACCATTCGCGGCTCCAGCGACCTATATACGGGCGTCACCATCAAACAAACATGGCGGCTGGGCACAGGTCGCGTCGGCTCGGCCGGGCCGCGTGAACGGGTGGCGCATTCAGTTTAGCAGATTTTCTTTTGTTTAATGCCCAATTTTATATGTATTCGGACTGCGACGGTTAAGTGTAGCCGGTGCACAGTCAAAATTTCGTTTCAGCGATTTCGTTCAAAACCAAAACCATGGGCTCCGGAGAGACGGTAATAGACTCTCATCAGTTTTGATTAGCTAAGGAAAGCGGCGATTGCTATACAATTGTTCCACCGAGAGTAATTTTCAGCTAACTCGCATGCCTTGACCATGCGACTTATCTGTCAGCGAAATCGAGCTCCAGTCGTCTGCTCGGTCAACAACACAGGCTGCAGGAAACTTACGAAAATTAAGCAAGCGCTTCTTGAGCCAAGGACTATGCTAACCCGCTGGTGCCCCACTAAGCAGCTGATACTCGTATTTCAATTCAGGTTTTAGTAGCAATCGAGAAGTCATTTTGACGAATATGCGGGTTATGTATTATATTACGTATTATGTCCCACTAAATCTATATTAGTGTATTCTTCGAGTTGAAATCTGAGCTTAGTTGATTAGCTTTTAAGTAAACTGCTGAATAAACGTATATTTAACAGGCAGAGAGATACTACTTAAACTCAGCCAAATGGTTCTAGCCGGTAGCACGGCGACAAATACGGACAAACTGAAGGGAGTCTTCATCGAAGATTCACGCAGAATCTCTCTGCATTGAACTTGACTTCGAATCCTGAACGGAGCAAATTAGTATTTTTTTTGTGGCTGGTCAACCTGAGCAATGTAGACGTATATTGCTGCTGGATTTGACGGGGGTATAATATAAATACTGGAGGGACGATAGATCACAATGCCGTGACAGCTTCTAACCTTGCGAAACGCATCCCCCACCTTTTGAAAGCAATCAATTTCCCTCATGAATCATATGCAGCGAGCCGGTTTTCCGGAACCAAGTCGTTGCGAAATCAGCCCAACTCCTTCGATGTGGTCCAGAGACTTTTTCGGCGAAAAGCAGCGAAGATGAGTAGCCAACGCAGCGACCGGCGTGGGAGGCTCAAACTTGAAGCTAATCGAACACAACCAAACTCAAGAAAAGCAGCTATCGCACCTTCCCATTAACTTGACTGCAACATTGGTGCTCCCGCCGGTGAAACATCTCGTCTGTCGTCCTCAGTTCACTGTTTTACATCCGTATAAAGAAACCACTTATCAGTTACCAAGCAGTCGTCACCTTGAATGTGATTAGAGACAGACGAGAAATCAAAACGTTTTCCGTGATTCCTCCTCATCCAAAAAATTGAAAGCACGCGACCGTGTGTTATGGAGTAAACGGGCTTTCAAACACGTCATGGAAAGAAACAATCTACTGAGGCTTCACCACACTAATGAACACTTAAGCAAACTTACGAAATTGTCGGACCTTCGTCAAATTACGTTTTTCGCCACCGCGCCGACAGCACGTACCCGCGAAAGCCACCAGAGACGCGGAGGGGCGCAAAGCGACCTGTTCCGGCTTGTTGACGGTTTTCCCGCACAATGATGATGATGATGATTTTTCCGCACTGCACAATGATAACCTCTGCGCGGAAACCGATATAAGAACAATCAGCATTTTGATTTACGATTCACGGAGGGCAGTCGTGGCATTCGGCTTGAAGGATGGGGGATCGGTGGCCGAGTGGGCTAGCGCTCACCAGCTCGGAGCACGGTACAAGTAATTCGTTGACTCGTAGCGCATTAGGTCCAGGTGGTTGTTGACCAGGGGCTCACGACTAAACCTCGCAGCACTGCACTGCGCCGCCAGTCGGGGTCACGTGGACTGCCTGGAGACGCTGATCTCGCTGTGCGGTGCCGAGGTGGACGCCGTCGACAGCAACGGCTGCTCGGCGCTCTTCTACGCCGTCACTCTGGGCCACGCCGACTGCACTCAGCTCCTGCTCAAGTACGGCGCCATGGCGAACAGACAAGACCACAAGGGCAGGACGTAAGCTGATCGCTGCTTTCGTGCTAATTGCCGCCGCGTAGTAAAAAAAAAACAAGCAAATGTACATGTAAAGATGGAAGCGAGCGGCCGGTGCACAAGCAACGCTCGACGGGTTCGCATGAATGAATACACGTAGATGTATGCGCACGACTAAGCCCTCTCAATCGCACAGTTCTTTGGCGTCACCGATTGGCAGCCCAAGCGGGGGCACCCCAAGAGTACGCGCTGCCAGAACGTTGTCATGTCACTTTAAGTATCAATTGAAGCATTGAGTAAAATGATTTACGCGAATCATTAAACTCTAAATTAAGCCTCAGTAAGCTTTCTCCATCGTCGTTTCGCAATATTACCGGGTCAATCGAATACTAATACCTCGTCGAGTGTGCGAGGGTTGCCCCATAAATTCTCTATTTCCTAGCGGGACGGGCGTTCCCTTCTGCTGCGTCGCGCGTAGTAAGTCCATAACGTGGCATTAATACGAAGAAAAATAGAGGAAGACGGGGAGGAGGCAGGGCATGCACTCTCAAGAAAAAAGGGTGTAAAAGGGTGTATCGTTACACCCTTTGTCCCGTAATGCACCCCAAAACTTCAATTCGACGTACAGAGCCCTATCGTCGAACAGACGACCCCAAATTTTACGAGGGGCTTGATAACGGTGCAACATAATTTATAAAATAGCTAAAGTACGTATCAAAGACCTCAGAAAGAAAACACCGAGCTTTTACAGTAGGGCCAAGAAAACCCCGATTACTTTTTTTTTTTTTTTTGTTTTAGTCAGTAAATCGTACATTAGCGATTTTAATAAGTTTTACCCCCATGGCTATCAAGCCCCTCGTAAAATTTGGGGCCGTCGGTTCGACTGTAGGGCGCTGTACGTTGAAGTTTTGGGGTGTATTATATGGGACAAAGGGTGTAACGATACACACACCTTTTTTTCTTTAGAGTGTTTCAACATTCTTAGATTCATCAGCTAAGAAGCTTTATGCGAAAGAGCATCGTTCGAAAATTGTTCTTCTCTGTTTCCGGCACGCGAGCAGGTATATGGGCGGATAGCGACCCTAGCTCCACCAGCGGCACCGCTTCGACGGTGCCGCTGGTGTTTTAAAGATTGAAATTGGGAGAAAAACTTTAATGAAATAACTGCTATCATTTCAAAATGTTACCATATTGCACTAAGCCCTAGGGCCTAGGGAACAGTCCCACTCACGGTCCAGTTGCATGCACTCATTTGGAAGGCCCTGCTTCGGGTCCTTCGTTGGTGTGGCCGTATTTTGCCAACGACTGGAGTTTCCTAAGCGGGGCTTTATCCTGCAAGACTCGGCTGTAAAAGTCTGCCCACATATATAGAAAAAAAGAATCATGTCCCGTAAACGGGACATGATTCTTTATTGGGATAAAAAGACGGGACGGCAGAAGCGGACCTCATAAACGGGACTGTCCCGGCCAAAACGGGACGTCTGGTCACCTTATCCCGGCAATGCCTTTCTTTGTAGGCAATCTCTTAGCAAGCATCAAGATGACGGAAAGCTTGCATTTTCCGTCAGGCGCGTTGACCGAAGCTGATGAGAGCGCTCAACATTGATTCTGCGGAACAGTAGAGCTAATGTATCGTCATTTTGAATCGTAGCTTATTCGGAGGTTCTAGAGTGCACCGCAAATACACATTTAGCGCGTATCACATACGCTTTCGGCGCTTTTCGCGCTTAACTCGCATAGAGCTTTAAATTAACGCCAAATCTTACCACTAAAGGCCGACGAGAAGCCAGAAAGAAGCGAGCGAACTGCTACCCGTTTGTGAAAGAGAAAGAGACCCCCCCCCCCCCCCCCCCCCCCTGCTTTCTGCGTGGAGTAGCTCAGAGACCCGCGCCTGCGGGGGGAGGATGAGAGAAGAGTGCGAGGGGCATTGGGGTGAAGGAAACTCGGTACCGGTTTTCTTCCCGGCGGAAGACGATGCTGTAAGTCGGCCTTTAAACTGGTTGCCCCAATAACATATTTCGACCGCATTACATGTTTTACGACTTACAACTGCAGGTCAAATCACGGTGTACTTAAAGATCACGTGGTAAATTGCTCCTTTGTGCGCATGAGTGCTTCCGACTCGCCACACTGACCCAAACGTCGGGGCAAATATACGACGTGGTTCTTAAGTGCCACGTGATTGAACCTGGCAACCCCCAGCTCTTGTTATAGTCCGTCATAGGGCAAAACGAAGTAGATGTGTTTTGATTACAGAATTCTAAGATAACTAGGAATGTGCGAACATTCGAATTTTGGAGACGAAGTTTTGAATAACAGGCTATTCGATGTTCGTTTCGAGATAAACTGCGATATTCGTTGTTGTTGTTGTTGTTTCCGACGTGATCGTGGACAGCTTTTTCCCACTTAGCGCGCTTCTTGCTGAGCACCGGTGCTCTGCGCAGGAGCCACACCGGCGAAACCGAGCTTCCAGGGTGTCGCTTCACTGCACTGTACCGGTGCTTGGTAGAAAGTGCCATCAGTTGGGCAAACCCGCCGCGATCAACGCCTCCAGAAGTACAAATATCGCCATCGCATGCTTAGGATAAGAGAACGCTTTCAAAGCACTCTTTCAAAGCCTAGCGCAATCACAAAAGAACGGGAACGTTTCGAATGTTCATATCTAGAACGCAGTCAAATGTTCTATACCAGGTGTCGGCAACCCACGGCCCGCGGGGAAGTTTTATCCGGCCCCCGGCACGACCCCAGAAAAGGACTCCCCCCCCCCCCCCCCCCCCTCTTTGCAGCTTACTCACCGACCCAAGCAGCACTCGGAAAAGCAAGAACCACAAAAGGTGTTAGACAGGAAAATGAAGCGCTACCACGCAGCATTGTTCGGCGTCCCCATACTGGGGCAGAGAACGCCTTCACTTCTTTTTTGCCTTTTTTTTGTCTCTCGCACCCCCCCCCCCCCCCCCCCCGTCTTTCCGACTTGCCGTCCGGCCCCCCCCCCCCCCCCCCCCCCCCGTGTCAACTTCGTGACGACTCGGCCCGCCGCTGCAAAAGGTTGCCGACCACTGTTCTATACTAAAATGTGGCTATTCCGCAAGCGCATATGTTAGGCAGAGATGTCCGAAAAGCTGCAAGTATTATTCGTGATTTTTTTTTTTTTTAATTCGGGATTTGAGAGATGATGGTTGCGTATAGTAAGATTTACAAATCCTCTCGATTGCGTATAGCGCTTGGAATCTCTACAGGCTCTATTTTAGGTCACATCCGTCATTACTTGACATCGCAATGTGAGCAGTGGATTTTTCGAGGCTACAGTATATACCTTTTCATCTGAGTATTTACCGGACCGGCGGATAGAGGGAGCTGGTCAACACGCCACCATTGTGTGACTTTAATTTGGTCAGTTGCAGTTTCAGCATTTCAGTTTCGGGCTGTATAAATGTTTTATTTGATTTTCGCTTCATTTTGTTTCAAACGTTTGTCTGTCGTAGCAAACAGCCAATAAAGGAGTCGTACTGAACCGCTTAGAGAACTACGAAGTGGTCTTCACTCATAATTAGGGAATTTTTTTAACACTTATATCACACGTCTGGTCGTGTTCGTCATTAATTTATATTAGATTCGGCGGAGAAACAACGGAACAGATGCACAGGAAGGATTACCATCGTCTGCAGCCGTGCCCGTTGAAACATTAACCCTCCTTTCCACTTTCTAAAAAAAAATTCATACAAATATTGCTTTATAGATGCGCAGAGAAAACGCAGGTTGACTGCTTGATTAACAAGTGCTGAATCGCGAAGAACACACAAAGTCGGAAATTCACTGATCATTATTGGATTTTCGCGGACACGGACATTTTTGTGAATTACAGAGACTAAAAAGGTCTCCTATATAGCGCACATACTCTAAAAGAGTGATATTATCCGGGGTCATTTCTTAAACGAATTAAGCACTCGAGAAATATTTCCATAGTCCATCCTAGGACGGGAGGGAAATCGTTTTTAATACCGATTCTGCTAAAGTGCCTATTAAACAGCATTTCGCAATGCCGGCGTTAAAATAAAATAATTTATTTCATAAACATTTGCTCACGGCGTACTCAACATATGAGTAAGCTAAGTGACAGCAGGCCCAGATTGAAGTCTGAGATTTGTCTTGCTTAAAATTTTCCAAATGAAATCGGAAGGGTGCTAGGGAAGTGACCTCCCTAGAGTTTGAATGAATTAGAATGCTTGGCACCAATAGCCTTTATAGACAAATCTTTATTGAAGCAGATGCACTTTGCACAAGTTGACGCCACCAGGCACACAAGGCAAATCGCTGTCCGGCATCGCCAACGCTGCCCTCGGGTATTTTCCATGCAGGTGGCTCTTTTTCGGTATTACAAATTGCGGGCTTAGTCACTCCCGAGCTGCCTGTGGCCATTTTGTTTACCGGGGTAGTGCAGACGTTTGTCTTGAAATAATTAAATAAATTAATTGAATTTTACGCTTTAAAAATGCGTGAAAAACTTGAATGACTGCAGACGTGTTAGCGAAACATGAGTACACTCTAAAAAAAAGCCAGTGCTCCTACTTTCTCCGTGTAATACCATAAAGAAACGAATCGCCTGATGTAACTTTACCATTATTCTTAGGATCCGATAAAATGCAGGTTAAACTTTCGTTACCTCACTCCACGACTCGAGTTCCCCATATAATGAAAAATCAGATTTTTTTTTGGATATGAAGACAAAGCACGATGATTTCAGTAAACATGCATGGTTGCCCTTTTCGCTGACTATTTTTGTAACCTTTTTAAGAAGGGTTATGTAATGATATCGGGTTAGAATGTTCTTGGCTTTGCAGAGGCGTATTGGTCCTAGTCGGGCACAAGTACACCTCGCACAGACCGCCAATAAATAATTCAGAAGCTTTTATGTCCCGGTGAAATTGCGAGGAGAAAAGTGGACTAATTCTTTCAGTCTTCCCTTCGCAAACTTGATGACGTAATTGTGCTATCGAAGCCACCCACCTGACGACAGTCGAGCGCGC